CTCCGTGGACCCCTGGCACCTCTGAGCCTTTCCCAGCCAATTCCTCCTTCCTGCAGTGAGCAGGAGGGGAGGAAGGTCTCTGCCTGAGCAGACGGGGGTGCCAGGGTGAGATGAGGCAGCCCTGGGTGCCTTTGCTTTAGAATGGGAGGCTCTTTGGCAGCCCAGAAGCCAGGATTAGCCTTTTCCCTGTATAGAACAGGCAGGACCTGATTTGGAAATTGGAATATTTGCCCTTAGAGTGGGAGAGGAAAAGGAGTATCCAGAGACCTGAGGGTGCCCTTTGTGTCTCCCCGCAGGTGATGCACTGACTTGGCCGATGCTGCCTTGACTGATGTAGGACCCAAGTGGCTTGGGCCGAGGATGAGCAAGCCCACAGACCTGCAGCACAACCTGGAACGAAGCCTCCCAGCCATAGCCTCCATCAGCACCTCGTTTTCCCAGAGCCAGGGCTTCTCTCCGTACTGCTACTTCTCTCTGGAGAAGAGGAAAGCCATCTCGGATGTGAGGAGGACCTTCTGCCTCTTCGTCACCTTCGACCTGCTCTTCATTTCTTTGTTGTGGATAATCGAGTTGAATGTAAGTTGGGGGAAGCAAATCCAGGGAGCCTTTGTCCTGTTAAGTTGTGCTTTTGAAACGCAGCTCCCTCGGTGCTAATTGCTCTGGTTCAGAAAGCTGGGGCCAAGTCTTTGTTTGCTCTTCCCAGCGCTCTGCTGATTGGAGCTGGCTGAGGAGCCGCTGCAGTCAGTGTAAACGAAAGTCCAGCTCATTTCCTGCACCCGGGCTCTGTTGTGGCTCTCCAGGGTTGTTAACACCGTGCTCTGTGTTGGACTGAAACGAGATCTGGGGCCCCTGGAATCGCCAGGTTGAGCACTTGGCCCAGTTTCTCTCTCCCGCTCCCCTTGCCTTAAGTGAAGCCGCTCGCTGTGCCTGCCAGGCAGCTGCCAGCTCTGCTGCAGCGTCTTGTTCTCCGAGCATCAGAGGATGTGCAGACCCTCCTCACACCCACCCAGCTGTTGGGCACAGACAAAAGAGGCTTTGAGCTTTGTCATCTCAGCTTCTGAAAGCTGGAGCTGCTGCTCTGCTGCACGGGGGACTAGCGGTGGGGAACACGAGGGCTGTGGTCCGTCACGCCTGTGCAGGCTGCTGTTTGCTCAGCGTGTCACCTGTTGCAAGGACGAGGGAAATCCAGTTTATTTACCTCATTCCCATCAGATTGAAGCTCTTCCCTGGGGTTTATTTTGTTTTGATTTCTCCTGAACTGGTCCTGGCTGGTTTCAGCCCTGGTGGCGGCGCGATTCAGGTACGACGTGTCCTTCCTTCCATGGAACAACCCCGAGAGCAGAGCAGATGAACAGATAGACCCCAGTGCCTCTGTGTGCAGCCCTGCCTGTGTCTGGCTTTTATTTATCAGCACTGGATCCTGCCCCCACTTAACAGCTCTTATCTCTGCCCTTTTTATCTCCTGGGTGTCTGCACTTAACAGATTGTCTGGCCCAGCAGCTCCCTCCCCTTGCCCGCTGCAGCACTGAGAGCCTGAAGAGACCCCTGCCTAGGAAAAAGCATCTCACAGCCAGCATTCCAGCGATGCCAACGGTGTCCTGGCTTGGACCCCGGCCTCCTGCTCTTGTCCCTGTTCTCTGGGCTCTTTGGGGAGGTGCTGTCTCTCCAGCCCCAGGGGGATAATGTGCCAGCGCGGTCACCAGGGTGACTGTGAGCGTAGGGCTTGCAGGTAGCCATTAATGAGTGACTAACTGCTGATATTTAGGCCCTGAGCCGAGATGCTGCATATTTAAAGCTATTAGGACAGCTTATTTGCCTCCTTATGAAGAGCAACGACTTTATATCATGACTAATGCTTTTTTTATCAAACGGTTTCCTTCACTGCAAGATAAGCTGAGCAAATTGGCCCTTGTTAAATGTCTGTTGCCTGCAAACTGTAACTCGCTGCTCTCGGGGACAGAAGATGCTTCAGTTCAAACCAAAACCACCTCCCAGAGCTCCTAATCCAAAGCCTTCCCCACGTCTCACTCTGCAGCATCTCCTAGTGAAGTGGTGTGGGGCAAAGCTGCCTGACATGAGTCCTGTAGCCCCAGCTCGGGTAAAGCAACAGCAGAGCAGAACTGCTTTGCCCCCCTTGCCCTAAATATGAAGCACCAGCCCTGACCTAGAGGGCCCGTTTCCCGATGGCTGCCTCTTCTGTCCTTGGACTGTCAGCCCAGAGGGTGCCAGGACACCCGGCTGCCAAGAACTGGCCTGAGATCCACCAACTTGTTTCTCACAGCTCATCAAACAGCTGCCAGCCTCTACCAGCTTCCAGGCCAGCTGGGCTGTGTTCAAACCAATAGCCTAAAGGTGAAGCATTTGTTCCAGTTACCTGAGCCATCCGCTTCCTCACAAACAGCCATCCCAAGCTCCCGAGAGCAGGATTTATGGTGTCAAAAGCAGCAGGGCTGTCGGGCCCCAGATTGTCTGGGGGTGAGGCAAGACAGCTCTTCTGTGAGCTTTTTCCACGCTCCCATACAATATCCCAGGAAGCATTTTAGCCTCTTTTAGCTTTCCTTGTGGTCTGTCTGTGTCTGTGCGTGTCCCTCGTCCTCCTCTCCTCCTTCTTCCCCTTTGCCAGTACATTTGAACCTGCTGTCTGACTTTCTCCGCCAGCTTTCCCAGAGGGCAGCTCAGCAGTGCTGGGAGCTGTGGGAAACCAGCTGGCCTGGAAAACAGGAGAGGGGACCCCTCAGTGCTTTGCACAACAAGGATGATCCCAGCTGCAATCCCGCCAGGTTGCTGAGTGAGCCCTGAGAGCCCTCGCAGGGGAGATGTTTGGATTATCCAGCTGTGGGATGCTCTGTTCAGCACGTTTCTGAGGGTGCTGGAGGAGCAGTTTCCTGTGGCTTTTCCATGTTTTCCACGTCTCCTCCAGCACAGCTGAAGTCTGTCATCTAAAGCCACCCATGGAAGCAATGGGCACAAGTGGGGGGTGTTCAACCAAGGCCTTTAGGCTGTGAGACTTGGGACCTGGTGTCTGAGCCAAAGAAGCAGCTCTGAGGAGTCCATGGAGAAGTGTTTAACGTGCTGCTCCAGCTCTGGCTACTCGGCTCGTGCTCCTCAGTGTGAAACCAAGGGTGAAATGGGCTGTTGTATCCTCCTGTGGTGCTGCTGTGGCAGATGAGGCAGCATTTGTATGCCTGATGCATAACCTGACCTGGCGGCAACCTCCGGTCACCGCTTGGCCGGGTTCTTTCTACCATTAGTTTCTTACCAGTGCACTCAGTGGCTTTCTGGTTTCCTGTCTCCCCTTCAGACCAAGGATGGCATTCAGAAGAACTTGGAGAGCGAAATCATCAAGTACAGTTTCAAGACCTCTTTCTTTGATATATTTGTGAGTATCTCAGACTGCTGCAGGTGAGGAAACAGCTTTGGGCAGAGCAGGGGGGGATCTGCGTGCCGGGGTCCCCTTGGCTCAGCCCATCCTGCCGCAGCCTTGGCCTGCTCCGTGTAAGTGAGAGGTCTACAGGAGCCTGGCTCGTGCCCGTGTCCTCCCAAGCACCTGGCAGAGGGACAAGGGCAGTGACGAGTGTCGATGGCTTTTTGTTTTAAAGGTCTTGGCTTTCTTTCGTTTCTTTGTGTTGCTGCTGGCCTACGCCATTGTGAAGCTGCGCCACTGGTGGGTCATAGCGGTAAGGAGGCAGCTTTTGCTTTCCTGTTTGGGGTTTTCTCTCTCCACCCGCAGTTTGCAGGGGTCTGAGGTGTGCCCCTTTGTTTTTCAGGTCACTACATTGGTATCCAGTGCCTTCTTGATTGTGAAGGTCATCCTCTCCGAGGTTGGTCTCCTTGGGCTCGCAGGGAATTGCTTTGTGGTTACTTGCTGCTGCTGTTTTCCTGTTGCTGTCAACTCCCTGTGGTTTCTCCTTTCTTCCACACAGCTTCTGGCCAAAGGGGCTTTTGGCTATTTACTTCCTATCGTCTCGTTTGTCATTGCTTGGCTGGAGACTTGGTTCCTGGATTTTAAAGTCCTAACTCAGGAAGCAGAAGAGGAACGATGTGAGTATTTTGCTCCTCTCTGGTAGGAGTTGGCAGAGGAGACTCCCAGGCCTGGGGTTGCTGCTGCTTTGGCAGCACCTTGGCAGATATGACATTTATGGAGAAGTGATCTCCAGGCTGGCTGTGACAGTAAGTGCCCGACTCCGTTCTGTTATGGTATATAAGTCCCTTCAGGGGAAGAAAATACCAGATTATAAAAAGCATCTTTTAATTGAGTGGAGAAAAGTGTGCCAAATTCCTCAGTGTCTGCATCCAGAAGCCAGACGAGTTGGAAATGGAGCTCACCTCCGCCTTGGAGAAGGTGTTTTGAAACACTGAGACGAATGCCAGGCGGGCTCTTGGGCTCTGTGTTGGGATATCTGCCTTTGGAGCCGGGCTGGAGACCTTTTGGGGGGGTTGCTTCAGTCACAGCCACGTTTCAGGGGCACGACGTGACTTATGGCCTGTGAAACTTGACAGCCTTTGGGTGCTGAGGTTTTACAAATCCCCCTCCAGTGCTGGGCACCTGTAACTTCCAGGGGTCCTTCTAGGGAGCAAGTGCTCAGGCTGGACTGGCACAGCTGCCCCTTCCTACCACAGCAAAAGGAGGTTGTCACTCTCCCTGGCTTGGCTGACGACAGGGGACTGGGAAGTGGCACCTAAAGGAAGGAGTATTTGTCAAGAGGGGCTCAATCAGAAATGCACTGACTGGAAAACACCAGAGGATGTTTGGGTCTTGCAAGGAGGCTTTAAGATGAAAAATGATCAAGTGTTTAATGCCTCTATTGGATTAGGCTCAGGTTCCAAATTGCTTCCAGGGGAAGCTCTTATTTAATTAGATGCTTAATCGCCTTTGGATTTGACAGGCAGAAGAGCCCATTGATCTCCATGCAGATAAAATGTCTCAAACAAAAGATGAGGCAATAGGAGCTGAAAAGCTGGTGGGCTGGCTGGTGGCAGTGCAGAAAGACCAGCTGTATCTGGGGGAGAGTGGCTGGGAGGGTGCTTGAGGAGGGTTTGGGTGTGCTGGGGGTCCAGCACCCCTCGGTGTCGAAGCACTGGATGCTGTGTGTGTAAAACTTTGTGCTTTGGCTCGCAGGGTACCTGGCAGCCCAGGCTGCAGCCTCTCGTGGGCCCCTGCTCTACCCTGGAGCCCTTTCCGAGGGGCAGTTCTACTCCCCACCAGAGTCCTTTGCAGGTAGGACGTGCTCTTCCTCCCCTTCTGCCTCTCTTCCCGAGCCCTTTCCCATCACAGCGTCCCTCCTCCCCTCCACCACCGCCTCCTCCCAGGCTCTGTCTCGTTATCCCAGCCCTTGGCAGTGTCAAGACCTGACACTGCAGAACAGGCTCCTCTGCCCTCGCCCTGTGCCCGGGCAGGGGGGGCACATGTTGTCCCTGTGCCATCTGCAGAGCAGAGTCACGCTCAGCCCCTGCGCCTGGCTCCGGCTCTGGGCGAAACTGGAGCCTTTTTTGGGCTTGGGATTAAATGCTCTCAGCAGTGCTTAAAAGGCTTGAAAAATGCTGCCCTTGGGATGAGGGCAGGGGGCGAGTTGCAGGTGATGATGAGAGCAGTGCTCGTGTTCAGCAGCAGGGACATCCCCACTGACAGCCCTTCCCATCGGACAGGGCGCGGGACCAGACACCTTCCCCCAGGAGAAGCTCAGAGGGAGGTTGTGCAAGTGGGGGCTTCATCAACAGCATGTTCATTTTGTGCTTTCCCCCCCACCCAGGGTCGGACAATGAATCGGATGAGGAAGGTGCAGGGAGGAAGGTGCTGACAGCTCAGGTAAACAGAGGCAGCGTGGCCTGAGGTGGCATTCCCTGTC